CAGGGTCCATGAATCCAGCTTATAAACACCCCCAGACAGGAGATGGTGCAGACCCTGGAGGGAAGGGCAGAAGGGGAGACAGCCAGGAGAGGGAGTGAGTCTGGGGTGGCATGGAAAGACTTTCCACATAAGCGCAGCTCTGCTGGCCCCACAGGGATAGTGGGACTTGACCAGGCAGAGGAAGGGGAGGGGGAGATGGCCATTTTAGCTGGACCCCAAAGCAGGCAAAGTGGAGGTATGGTAGAATCCCAGGAGTGACTGAGGGGCAGGAGCGTAGCACTGTGGCTGCAAGAGGCAGGCCGTAGTCTCAGGATGGGTAGGAGGTGAAGTCGGAAAGGTGGGTTGGGCCGAGACCTAGGAGCAAAATTCATGGTGGTGATCTACCCAGTTGTCTCTGGGCTAAAGGACACTAGAGGAGTTAAGGGTCACAAAGTTGGTCGCAAGGTGACTTACTTTCCTTCAAGCGGACATCCAGTGGCTTCTGTAACGTTCTCTGCATGGCTTCCGTGAGGCCCCTGAAGAAGCTCTTGATGGGCTCGAAGGATTGGGGCACAGGGTGGCACAGCTCCCCCAAGGTCATCTGCTGCTTCATCTCCTGCTCAGTGGCTGTGAACTCCTACAAGGGCACCTGGGGGTCAGGGAAGCTCCACCTCGGCACCAGGAACAAACCCAGGCCAGTAAGCACAAGCCCCACCCCAGCCCGTCCGGGCACCTGCAGTCCTGGCCCAGGCTGTGCACCCCGGTGCGGAGCCCTGGAGAATGCACAGCAGGCCCCGGGACGGAAGACATGGAGGTCCGGCTTTTGGGCTGGCACTGTCCTTCCTTCCTCCCTTCCTGCTTTCCGTGTTCACTGACATCTTTCTTCTCTGTTCCAGGCATTAGCACTCATGGCAGACGGAGAGGCGGGCTGACTGCCGGCCTTTAAGCTGCTCACCACCTTGCAAGGGTCCCTGAAGCTTTACAGGCAATGTGACAGGGGTCTGCCTGAGGTATAGGGGGATAAAGAGAGTGAGGGGCCAGTTTCCCAGGGGAAGGAACCCCTGAAAGTTCAGCGGGAATGCTGCCTGAGGGGATGTGGCCACCACAGTGGGGACTTGTCCTGTTTGCTGCCTGGACAGCACCTTTTAAATACCCTTCCTGTGTTAAGTGTGGCTTTGCTAAGTAGAAGCTAGAAAACGTACTCTCCCAGCCCGCTTTGCACTCGTGGGGAAGGCATGTCACGAGGCACCTCCAATTCAAGACTTGCATGTAGAAGTGAGGATGAAGTAGTGACCGCAGAGTGTAGCTCTCAGGGACAGTGGTGGGTGGTGGAGGCCCTGGGGCTGGTGCCCTGGGTCAGTTGTGTGAGCTGTGATGTCTGGCCCAGCAGAGAAGCAGTGGGGTCTACACTGGAGCACACCTGTGCTAGGGCCTGCACTTCCCTCCTGCTGCCTGGTCTTCATCCTGACTTTCTGGCCCTCCTGGAGATCCTGCAAGCTGCCTAATTCCCTTTCATAAACTCATTTCTTCCCTAAAACAGTGACAGTGGATTCTCTTGTTTGCAGCTAACAGCCCTGTCTGCACATTCTGAAGAGTTGTCCTGGGCAAGGAGTTAGAAGACAGCGGATTGTCTTAGATGAGCAGGCCCTGGCTAGTGGGCAGTACTGCTCAAGACAAGATTGGTGGATGGATGTCTCAGGAGGGAGGGAGGCTGGCCTGGCACTCAGCTGTCGGGCAGAGGCGGCCCGTCAGGCAGGATGCTAGACCTTGGGAGATGGCTATGGGATGGTACCCAAGCTCCTGGCCTACAGTCCATCCTCATGTTGGTGGTAAAGAAGATAATTTGTGGGGAACCAGGACCAAGATCACATCAGAGGACTGGAGTGGAGCTGGCCAGGGAGTCAGAGCACTAGCTGGGGTGGGGGCAGGGAGCAGCTCCAGGGTGGCAGAGGGTGGCCTGAGGGTGGCCCAGAGGGCAGATGGGTGGGGTGGGACTGAGGAGGGGGATGAAGCACAAACACCACTCCCTGGTAACCCCAAACTCCAGCAGCGAGCACAGGGCCTGACATATAGTTTCACAATAAATATTTATGTTAAAATAAACGGATGAATGAAACTAAGCACATCTGCTTTTTGCCTTTGCAAGACTCAGTGAACAACCCCCTAGCCACCCATTGCTCAAGCCAGAAACCGGGTATCATCTTGTATTCTCCCGCTTTTAATCACCAATCTGGTTGCATCTCTCAAACCTGCCTCCTTGTCCCCCACTTCACTGCCTCTTCACTGGTCCAGCCCACCATCATCTCTCTCCTGCACACTGTGGTCTCCTCCTAACTTCCATTCTAGCCTCCAGTCCTGGCCTGCCTAGTCCATCCAACCTATCACCAAAGTGACCTTTCCAAAGCATTAACCTGAGCATATCATTCCTCAGTTCAAAACACTCCCTGGCCCCCAGCTCTTTACAGGACAAAGTCTAAATTCCATGGCCAGGTATATAAGGCCCTTCATGAACTAACCCTGGCCTCCTGATCCAGCTTCATCTCCCTACTCCCCTCCTCTCCCTTATACCCCTGCCCCGCCTCCAGCCGGGCTGAACCCTGGTGGTTCTCCAGCCTGCCAAGCTCTCACCTGCACATGGCTCCTTTCTGCCTGGGATGTCCCTTCCGCTTTGTTCCTCTATATACTCAGCGAGCCCCTCATCATCCTCCCACACCCAGCTCCACTATCACCTCCTCCTAGAAATCTTCCCTGATCCCCTATACAGAGCTGGACATTTCTTGGACACACTTGTGCTAGCTCACTTGAGGTAGCAAATACTGTTCCTGAGCATGTCTCCCCATCCATGAGCTATCATTGATGAGCTGGGGCCTGGCACAGAACAGGTTGTTCAGTGAATATTTGATGAATAAATGAAAGAGCAAATAGAACGAATGATGACAATCAGTAGCTTTGGCACCAGAAAATAAAGAAAAAACATGACAAAGCCTTGAAACTCTATCTGATAGAAGAATGATCATCCCTTTGTATTAGCTATCCATAAAAGTTACCATTATTTAAAAAACAAAAACAAATGTACACCACTGTGCATCAAAATACAGTATCCATTGTGCCTAGAAGACCACCTTGCCCAGATTTGTTAGGTGTTTTTTTTTGTTAGTTAGCAATGAGACACAGGTTGAGTTGACCAAGGCCACATAAAGGCACAAGAGTGGAAATCTAAACCAGGGACAGGCTTGACTGGTTTCGTACTGACTGATTTATTTGTCTTATTTTCCAGCCAGAGCTTATGCTAAACTGTGGTTAGACTCAGTGTCACCTTTATGTAGTTGTACCTGCCTTGTCCTACAAGGCTTTAAAGTATCCGAGAAAGGCTATTTAATACTGCAAGGTTTTCCTTTACAGAGAGAAAAAGGAAGTAAAGGGAAAACATAGTAAGGCTGTAAGCTGAAAGCCAGAGTGAGACGAAGCATAAAATGTGTGCCACGAAGTCTTAGCCGAAATCTTTGAAACATATTTGGCTCTGAGCTTCCGAGAAGCCATGGCAAAGAAGGAAACAGGAAGTTGCCTGAGTGGAAAGCAATCCAATTGCACAGGTGACTGCACAGGAGTGCTGACAGGAGAGAGGAATTTCTCCCGTGGTTCCGTGAAGACAGGAACACCACCCTCAACACATGCTTTCACTAAGTGTAGCATGAACATCATGGGGGCTATTAGCCTACAGCAGAACCCAGTGACCAAGGAATATCATGGGCAAACTGTGACTCAGCTCTTGAGTTCTGCTCAGTAGCTGACAGGATACCTGCCTTTCCGGGAGGGGTGTCTCAGTGAAGACTACATAATGCATTTCCCCGAAAATAAGACCTAACCGGAAAATGAGCCCTAGCATGATTTTTCAGGATGCTCGTAATATAAGCCCTTCCCCAAACATAAGCCCAGTTAAGATCATCAGCCAGACATGACTATTTGAATAAATGTAGATTTTTGTACATGAATAAATGTAGATTGTTGGAGCAAAAATTCATTTAAGACCTGGTCTAATTTTCGGGGAAACACGGTAGGTAGAGGGCCGGGCAATGATGCCTAGGGCTGTAGAGCCAGACAGACCTGGGTTCTGATCCCAGCTCTGCCACCTGCCAGCTGTGTGACCTCAGAAAAGTCACTTCACCTTCCTGAACCTCAATTTCTCATTTGTAAAATGGTCAAGAACATCTACTTTGCAGATTTTTAGTAAATATTAGAGATAAAATACATCAAGTGCTTGGAACACAAGAGTCCCTCAAAAATGGTGGCCGTAAGTGTTATTTCATTCGTCAACGATGTATATTATCTTCCTAACAATGTTTTTTTTTTCCGACCACTTGTGTGGGGGCAAGACAGCCTATGTACTGACAAGGCAATTCTCTGTGTATTTACTCGGTGTGTAAACACTGTGTTCAGTGCCACAGAAACCAAGATGAAATGCAGGAGGCCAGTGGCAGCTATGAGGGCAAAACCCCAGCATACCTGCAGCAGCTGCACAGGATCGGGCTCCTGGCTGATACTCCAGACCCTGTTGGAGAGGCTGTTCAGGAGGTCGATTTGCTCCCCACAGGCCTGGATTTGCTCCCTGTACACCTGGAGGGTGTGCTGTGTGCTTTTGTCAACGAATTTCTTGACCATGGATTCCTCTTCATCAAGTAGTAATCTGAGTTCAGTGAATTTCCCCGCCAGCCAGATTTTACTTGACTCTGCATGAGCCTAAAAAGAAAAAAAGGTTGCAGATTATCCGAGTGCCAACCAGGGAATCCAGAATAATCAACACGAAAAAATCTATTATCGGGGCCGTCCGAGTGGTGCCTTGGTTAAGAGTTGGCCTGGGCCCTTTTTTTTTTTTTTGGACCGCCTTCCTCCCTTTCTGAGCCTTTTGAGCCTCGCCTTTGCGCACGGCCTGCTCCAAACTCTTTGGAATGTAATTTCTTTTCTAATAATGGGCCCTTGAGCCATTCTCTACTGCTCGGGCCTGCTTCTACTTCTTTGAAATGTACTGTCTCTTCTAATAAACTACTTTTTCACTAAAAACAAAGAGTTGGCCTGGGACACCAGCTCTGAGTAGCAGGGCCCCGGTTCGAATCCCACGTGTGGGGCCAGTGAAGCTGCACCCTCTACAGCTAAGATGGTGAACAACAGCTTGACCTGGAACTGAGCTGCTGTGAGTCGCCGGTGACGGCATAGGCTGCAGTAGGGCTGGTCGGCAGCTGGCATGCGCTTTTGTGAGCTGCTGTGACCCACCGTGAGGGGCTGTCCAAAGGCCAGTGAGCGACTGCCTCACTTGGGAAGAGCGCAAAGATAATACCACATGGACCAGTGAAGCGATGTCCTCCACAACTAGAGTGAAGAACAAAAAGGACAGCAACTTGTCTGTTCTCCTTCCCCAATTCCCCAATGCTGTTCCCCTCCCTTAACTCCCCAACAAAATTGTAAAAAAAAAAAAATCTATTATCACATCTAAAAGCAAGGTGGCTAGTCAGGTACAAGATCAACTTATAAAAACTGAAGCTTTCCTAAGTACCAGCCATAACCATTGGGAAATGCATAGAGAAATAAAGATCCTTTTGAAAATAGTGGAAAAAAATAGTAAAATATCTGAAAATAAACCTAACAAAAACTGTAAAGATAAAGAAAAGTATAAAATTATACCGAAAGACATAAAAAAATTTTGGATATGTGGAAGAAAAAACCATATCCCTGGCTGGGAAGATTTATTACTATAAAGATGCTATTTGTCTCCAAATTAGTCTGTAAATTGGATACAATCCCAATAAAATTCTTAACATGCAGATTAAACAAATATTGGGCCGGCCGAGTGGTGCGTTGGTTAAGAGCTGGCTTGGGATGCCAGCTCTGAGCAGCAGGGCCCTGGTTCGGATCCCATATGAGGGCCAGTGACGCTGTGGCCTCTACAGCTAAGATGGTGAACAACAGCTCAACCTGGAGCTGGGCTGCCGTGAGTCGCTGGCGACAGCGTAGGCTGCAGCCCCTGCTGCAGTGTGCTGCCGTAAGCTACTGTGAGTGTCTGGCAACCGGTGTGAGCTACCAAGAGCAGCCGTGAGCGGCCGTCCAGAGGCCGGCGACCTATCTGCCTCACCCGGGAAGAACGCAATGATAATACCAACATGGGCCAGTGAAGTGACGTCCTCCACCACTAGACTGAAGAACGAAAGGACAGCAACTTGTCTGTTCCCCTCCCCCAATTCCTCAATAAAATGTTAAAAAAACCCCCAAAAAACAAATATTAAATTATTATAGGGGTGAATAATCACAAAAAAAGCCAAAAATCTCTTTAAAAAGATCAATGAAGGACGAGCTGCCTTATTAGATATCAAAACAAAGTGTAATGCTACAGGATTTTAAACCTAGGCTTAGGCATAGACAAAAAGATCAAGAACAGAGCTTAGAAAAGAATATACCAGGGTGCCAAAAATGTATACAAGTGGACACTTTGGTCAACATTGCTCAAGCAGTAGTTCGCCGTAATCAGAAGTGTCTGGATGCTGATGGTAACCACTTTGAACACCTCTTTCAAGTGCAGAAGTCAAATGTGACTTCTTATGTGTCTTTTGTTATCAATATATTTGAGTATTACAATTTTAATACAGTTTTCCCTTCTTAAAATGTGTATACATTTTTTTGGCACCCTCTGTATATATGTATGATAATGGTGGCATTTCAAATTATTGGGAGAAAAGAGTGAACTAGTCAATAAATGGTATTGGTATTATAAAACATACAATTAACCATGTATTTGAAAAAAATTTAAGTTACGTCCTTATACCACATATACAAATAAATTGAGACAGTACCGTACCTATAGAGTAGCCTTGCCAACAAATATAAGCCTGAATCTGATCGAGCCTCTAGATCTAAATAAAAGACCCAATTTAGAGGACATATAGAGGACAGAAAAACATGTGAACCATTAACTTAAGAAACACGTCAAGCAAGTGCATTTTGAAAACTGTATTTCAATTCTAATTAAAATAAACAAATAAAATGTGATGTTTATAAGACAACCGGAAACATGAACACTGCTTGGATATCTGATGATATTAAAGAACTGTTTTTAATTTTCATAGGTGTGATGATGATACTATGGTTATGTATTTTTTTTAAATGAGTGCTTCTTTTGTAGAGATAAGATACTGAAACTTTTACAGATGAAATATGTTTGGAATTTGTTTCTAAATATGCTTGAGGTTTTCCACAATAAAAGGTAAACAAAAAAAGAAACTCCAAACTGATTAAAGGACTACATGGAAAAAACACCAAAAAACTGTTAGAATAAAACACAATTTAATTTTTTTTTAATTTGGGAGGAGAAGATCTCTGTAAGAGAAACCCAAAACTCAGGTAGCAAACAGGGAACCATGGCAGGTTTGACCACATAAAGAGGGAAACTTTTCCTAAGAGGGTGGGTGCTGTAAATAAAGCTGCACAATGGGTAAAAACTACACAAGCTAACTATCCGTAACACAGAATAAAAAAAGAAATCATTCAATTTAAAAATAAGCCAAAGATATGCAAGTGCCATAGGCGGTGTGAATCTCAGCCTCCCAATCAAGGAAGTGAGCAGTGTAATCAGAAAATATTTTCTGGGGGCGGCTGGTTAGCTCAGTTGGTTAGAGCGTAATGCTCATAGCACCAGGGTTGCCGATTCAATATCCACATGGGCCACTGAGCTGCGCCCTCCACAATTGGATTGAAAACAGCTACTTGACTTGGAGCTGATGGGTCCTGGAAAAAACACACTGTTCCCCAATAAAAGTTCAAAAAAAAAAAAAGAAATAAAAAGATTTTCTGGCCATCAGACTGAAGACTTGTAGCAGATGGGTGACATCTGAGTCTGTAAGTATGTGTGGCATGGGCACTTCCATACACTGTGGTGCTAGTGTCAATTGGTACTGCATTGTTAGAGGGTGACATGACAGTAACAAAATTTTAAATGCATAAATCCTTTGAGGCAGCAGTTTCTCTTGTAGGAATTGATCTTAGAAAATGTTTTCATGTGTGCACCAAGATTTGTATACCAAGATGCTCACTACAGCATTGTTGGTGATAGAGAAAAGTTGGATAAAATGTTCAATGTGGGAAGTATATATGTTTATTGTATAAATTATGCTGCATGCAAAGGCCAGCTATACCCACATGCCATTGGCTTTGGGCTAGCCTGGGAATTAGTCTACATTAACAACGTGGTTTCTATGGGTCCATGAACCTGGGCACACATATACCTTTGTTGAATGACTAAATGAAGGAAAGAACATGTGTTCCAAACCCTTGATTTATAAACACATTTTGGAGGTAACATATGAAAACGGAGGATCTTTCTATAGAAACCAAGAGAGCAACTATCCATATCTCCTCTCAACCAAGCTATGTTCCAAGCAGTTTCTACAGAGCCTCTCTCTAAAGAAGAATATACAAAATACGCTTAATGGCACTACACATTTTTATAATTGTTTGAAAACACCCACAAGAAAACTTAAGGTATAAGCATATGTGGCTAATTATGCAATACGGTTAAAAAATAAGAAAAAAATTAAAAAGAAGAAGACAGAGAGAATTCTGGCAATGAAACAAGGAAGTGCGTTGCCTGGTTTAGGCTGTGTTGGTTCAAAGTGAAACTGGATCCCAGGCTGAATGGGGCTGGGTAAGGGCCTGACAGAGTCTAGCTGAGGGAGGTCTAAGGACTGTGGGAGAGAAAGAACTTGAGCAGTGATGAAGTCCAGGGGATGGGAGGCTGAGGGATTTTGCACATCGAGTGCTGGTTGCTGTGTGAATCCATCTCTGCCCAGGCCCCTGGAGGCCTGTCTGGTCCCATAAGAGGGTGAGGAGCTTGCGAGGAGACTGGAAAGAGTTGTTTTGCTGAAAACTCTGTATGACTTTGGACAATCCTGCTGTGGGCGCCTCTCAGGGGCCTCCCATGTGGGAACACCTCTCAGGCGTTCTCCAACCCTACCCAGGCCAAATTAGCTATGATGCCCGTGCACACTGATATGTGGCAGTGGCCTGCAGGAGGAGGCAGAGCAATGGCCACACCCAGCAGGGTGGTGGAGAAGTGGCATCATCAGGGCCAACAGCAAGGCCTGGCTGAGTCCTTATCCTCTCAGCCTCAGTTTACCAAAGGCTGATCCCACTGGTCCCCGGCCCCATGCTGTGGTTCAGTCCTTTCAGCTCTGGTGGGTCACAGGAAAGGCACAGAGCCAGGAACCTAGGATGTTTATACACTCCCCAGGGTGCCAGTCTAGGTCTACATGCCTCAGGTCTGTTTCCTGTCCTTCCCCAGCTCTGTTCTGTAGGGCAAAAGGGCTGACTCCTGTAGGCCAGATTTCCTGCAGGCCAGAATCCTCCTTCAGGCTGGGTTTGGTCAATGGGAGGAGAAACTAAAGGAAGGCCAGAGGGTGAGGGGAAGGGAACAGCCACGGTAACCCTCCCACCATTGTCTCCACGAATGGCTGCATGCGTGAGTCCCTTTCACCCTCCTGCTCCCACAGGATAGGCCTGCTCTGGTTCCAGCTCCTGCCTAGGTGGCCCTGGACCCTGCACTCTGCTAATATCACCCCCTCCCTTTGTCCCTGCCACCAAGGGGTGAAGGTGTTTCTTGCTGGTGCCACCCTGGTTGGCGTCTCTGCCTCTTCCATGCCATGTCACCATTCCCTGTCTGAAACCCTCCAAGTGGCTTCTGTCTTTCTGGGTGGGCC